GCCCATGTCACGGATGTTCAGACGGCCTGCGAGCGACTCGGGATCACCCGTATTCTCGTCGTTACGGCGAGAGATGAATCGACGGTCGGCCTGGAGAACCAGGTTCGACATCGCCGAGTACTTGTACTGCGAGACATTGTTCGGGTCCGCCATCTTGACGGTAGAGAAGAGGTGATACTGGTGATGGTAGGAGGGGCGCCAGTAGGGCCAGCCGGCACGAGATTAGAGGGTGGTCGTTGGGAGGAGTCGCGGAGAATCAATATACTCCTTTTCGTCGAACTCACTGAAGAGCTCGAGATAGGCGGCGAGTGCGTTGATCGCAAAACTGGCACTGGAGCCTGCGCTTCTGCTGCTCGTCCCAAAATCTTTGATACAATTGAAAGTCTCTCCAAGATGGAGCGGCCAGAACGGCAGGTTTCCCGAGGAACTACGGTGGAGTATCGACGCAGCTGTGCCAGGTGGCCAGCCTCGCCAGTGACTCTGGAACAGTCTGAGAGGAAATGTTTCTAATTCACTGACCGCTGCTCAACTCTGTCTGATTATAAGTGTCGACCTTTCCGAGTATATACTTTCTCAATGCGCATCGCGTTTTATTCCTCTTCAATCAGAAGTATTGTTGCGCACCACCCAAGATTCGATCAGTCCGATCAACTACCGTGTCGCAGCCACCATGCTTTTGTCATAGACGAATCCTCCTTCCGTCAATTTGAACATATTCGATCCGTAGCGTGGCCGCACCCATCATGTATGGCACAAGTCCCCAAACCGAGACTCTCATTGCCATATTTGAGATCTTTCCTCCTGTGATAAGCACGAATAGTACCACAATTACCACAATCCGCCAACGAAGCGTCCAGGGCGATTGATTGCCATGTAGAACACACGAAGCGGGAAGATAAGTGACTTGACGCGCACGGTGCTGGCAGGAGTATTTGTATCGGGGCTACGCAGAAGGGTCGTGATCGGCGAAGCGACAAGTCCTGCTTGACGTGCCGAGCTTGACGTGCTGAGCTTAGACGTGCTGAGCTTGACGTGCTGAGCTTGACGTGCTGAGCTTAATGTGCTGAGCCCTCGCTTGCTCACCTCCGTGTCTTTTTCAAAGGGGTTGGATTGGTCCCTTCATCGACGCGTCAAGTCAATTTGACGAGGCTGAACTACATACCCCCTTGACAAATGCGTAATTCCCCTCTTCTACACTCACCTAGACAGTAACTCGTACCCCTGCCCCCTGCCCCTTGAACGGCGCCGGAGAGACGAGACGAGAGGCCAAAGCCAGTTCTGTTCACTGGTGAGTTCGTCCCCGAAGCAGCATGCTTCACGGCCGTACTATTACGCACGATGGTCCCCGGCGTGCAGGGACTCTCCGACACGGCACGGCACAGGCGAACAGCATATAGCAGCAAAAGTTGGGCATATACTTCGGCCTTAATCAAGGACAATCAAGCCTCGACACGCTGGAGCTTTGCAAGTTCAACGGGACAATTTTTTAATTAATTTTTTTTCGAAACGAGTGAGCCAAGACGAAGCAAGCCAGGCCCGGATTTCGAGACACTCAATTCTTGTACAGAGACTTGCTTCTTCTTGCCTGTGGCGCGAGAGACCTCATCTTTTCAGCATGATCCCATTACTCTTCCTCGTTTCGTCAACATAACCCATCTTACGTCCCGTCACCCAGAGCTCGATCGAAGACCGTTTGGTGGCTGTGGTTGGCGCATACGACAGCGACTCACCCTGGGCTACACCGAACGCCTCACCGACCGGCTTGCCGCTGACTACCCATTGTGCCTCGAGCTCAACTCCCGGATCCCATCGTCCAACGCTCGCCTGGAAAACACATCCTCCGGCACCATCGCAATCGTCGCCGCCCGTGATCGAAGGAGGTGCCTGTCGTTTGAGCGCAGCTTGGTGGCCACCGTAAGCAAGCACCTCGGTGAAGTTATTCCCTCGCGAAGACGACACTGTAACATTTCTCGGCAGTGGGGTCGTGCCGTTGGGCCCGTGGTCTTGGATCCAGCTATAGACCAGCTCGAGGTAATCCCAGATCTCTCGATCTTGATAGTTGCCTCCATGCGGCTTCTCAGGGAGGATGGTGATGTTTGCCCAGCCCGGGGCCCCAACAGCGTCAGTCCGCTTCTGGAATTCCTGCACGCCTTCGTTCAAGAAATAGTCGTCCCAGCTTCCCACGTACACATATAGCCGTCCCCGGAGGATTTCACCAAGGTTGTAGCTATTGTTCCAGTTGGTGACAATATAGTCTGCCAGATCCATGTGCCTCCAATACTCGACTGCAGCGGGGTAGATCTCGCCAGTGATTTTGTTCCAGGGCTCGAGTGGGTAACCGTTGAGGCCCTGCACGCCGAACACGGAATTCCAAACGTCCCATTGCAGAGACGAGCGTGACGAAGTGCCAAATGTCAACTCCCAGTGGTTTTCTTGCGCCACCGTAGCCAGAATAACTTGCGTTCCGTTCTCAAAGTCGCGAATAGAAGGGATTGCACTCCCATTGGCGCGTAGGTAGGCGTTCTTATTAGTATACAGCGGAATGTCTTGATGCCTGTGGAAGTCCAACGAGTCGGGGTAGGAGGAGAAGCAGGCGCCGTAGAGATCAGGCCGGAAAATGACGCTGGCGATGGATTCCCAGCCGCCAGTTGAACCTCCGACCTGGATCCGCGCGTACGGCTCAGGGATGGTCTTGAAATGCTCGTCAATATAGGGAATAAGCTCATCGCTTATTGCGTCTCCGAAGGGCCCGTGGTTTGGGCTGTTTACAGCGTAGCTGTCATCATACCATGGCGACTCGTGCCGCAAGGATACCAATATCATCTTAGGAGTAGGTCGGTCAGGCTGTCCGTTCTCACCGGGGATCGTTCCATTGTCCCATGCTTCCGAGAAGTTGGCGGTGGGATAACGAAAGGGCCCTGCGTCTGCGCCCCAGTGGCCTTGTGAATAGATGACCGGGTAACGCGTGGCTGTATCATTGGGATCGTACCCGCTAGGCAATACAATATTGGCACCCACGTACATGCTGCGACCCCAAAACTTGCTAAGTGCTTCGCTACGGATCTTGACATATTTCAGGGTATCCGTGTCTTCGTAGTTACCCTGAGAGCAGCCACCGATTTCCTTGCCGGTAAAGGCTTCTGTGGCCGTCACATTGTTAAACACGAGATTAACTGTTTGCGCATCTCCAGTGACACTGACATCGGTAATTGCTGTGAAGAGGCTGCCGAAACCGCCGATATTGGGGGCACCATCGCCACAAGGGAAATGGACGCTGACCGAAGATCCATCGCTTCGCTTCACCGTTTCGTACTTGGTGAAGTAGGCTTGGACCGAGTAGTTGCCTGCCGGAACATCGTCCAAGCTCACAATAGGAAAGCCCCAGACACCTCTCGCAGTGTTGATGATACTTGTGCTAGCCATGGTCATCTTACTGGCAGTGGCTACTCCGAACACGTCCATGCCGAAGAACAAGTTGGGACTGGAGGTGACGTCGGTGTCCTCCATGGGGTCCGTGCCGCTAGGTGCAAACATGACCGTAACATGGCCGTCGGTAGTGCCGTTCAGGAATCCATTTGCGACCGATAGCTGGACTGCTAGTCCAGAACTGGAGTTTGTTGCCTGCGCAAGAGCTGCTACTGGCAAGCAAGCCGCGAGGACTGCGACTGCGGCCGGATTGTCACATGACAGGCCGAGAAAGCGCATCTTGGTCAGAGTGACGGTGCTGAGGTATGGCAATCTTGGTCCAAGAGGGCAGCTTCCATGGCGAAGCTTCCCTTAAGAACGACCCACGGCGCATGCCGAGGTGCCATCGTTCAGCAAGCTCCAACTGCCCTAGTTGCCTTGCTGCCATGTTGAGTGCTGGAAGCTAAGAGCACTGTGACGGGGTGAAAGCCCGCAAGCCGCAAGGAACGAAGTTAGCGACAGCTTTAGATGGCAAGAATGGTATGATGTTCAACGATAAGCTAGCCGACGTGGGAAGCTTGAAGTGTTCACGCGGTGCTTGCGTCTTTGCCAAGCCGCCAGTTGCAAGGCTAGTCTTAATGCGGCAGGAGGGGAGGGAATCGACTGGCTGCTCGCTTATCGATAAAGCCCACGTTCGGATGAGGATCCTCTAGCATAGAACGGCCCATTAATTAATGCCTCCTCTAACCTTAAGGTGCTGGGATGGACGGCCCTTGGCAATGGCCTGGCGTCTGGTGAAATGCAACCCTAGGTGCAAGTCGCCTCCTCGAGACGTTAGCCAGATGTGGCAGGCGTCTGGAGGACGATGCTGACGAAGAGCCAGAAGAGTACTCCGTAAAGACCCAGCCCTTCTTTCTCTGCCAGCTATGCCATGGAAAGGATCTGTGGGTAGGGCGAAAAGGTACGGAGCAGACCAAGAGCAAACATTGAAGATCCGGTGCCGTTCTGCCAACAGATCGATCGTGTGATCTTGCACATTGCAGCTGCGGTCGACCTGAGTTGGACTGCGGCGATGCTTGATGGCCCAGCTCTGGCGAGCTGTGGACGACAAAAAGCGAGATCCCACCCAGCAGGACTTCCCTCGGTGATACCACAAACACACGGTCTTCACTCCACTGCGGCCACAGAGTGGAAATGAATGGGCTATGCTTCTGCTTCTCTTCGCTCTGCATGCGGCGCGAGATCCGGTAAAATCCCTCCACTGCACCAACAGGGCCATAGATGGCGTCCAGTACTTGAACCCGCGAGATTTTCGGTATACTTGTGCCTCAGCTATCAGTTGCATCCAGCATCCAGTGCTCCAGAGCACGTTAGATCCGAGCCGGGGCTGTCATCAGTCAGCTATGAAGCACGAAATTGCATACGCTCTTCATGAATGTTTATGTCCTCTCATCTGCCCAAACTCCGATTTTCCGGCTATACGTGCCACCTAGATATCCTACAGAGAAGTGCCGCACGAAAGAAACGGCCCAACATTGGGGGACCAGAAGAACACATTATACGCGTCAGTAGATTGCGACGCCTGGACGTTTGCTTCACAGGTCCCCATCAACTTCGGCTCCTCCTCCACCCTCGTCGTCTTCTGGCAGTTCGCTCAGACAAGTATCAATCAGGGTCATCAGCTCATCCACGTCTGGCCTCTCCGCCGGTTCGACCTGTAAACACCTTCTGACCACGTCACGCGCAGCTGGATGGGGGTATATCCTCGCCGCCGACGACGCCTCGGGCGCTTTATTCGCGTCGCCATTCGCCGACCGGGCGGTATTCGAGCGACTTGGGGCACTTCCAACTTTGCCCTTTCCTTTACTTTGATTTCCTTCGTCTGGCCACCTCCAGTCGCCGCCCAGGACGCAAATACTCAAACTCCCACCCGTCTCATCGCTTCGAGCCTCGAAAGGCGATTTCCCCACCAGGCACGCGTACATTGTACAACCCAATGACCAAATGTCGACCTTGGTGTCGATTACACTCCCCGTTTTGACGTCGAAGAGTTCCGGCGCGCGGTAAGGCATGGTCGAATGTTCGGCTGCCGTGTCTTGAACGGCGATCGCCAAGGACCGGCTGGTGATGGGCGTCGGCGCCGGCGCCAGACTGCCCAAGTCCATAAGGATGGGCGTCCGTCCGTCGTCATCGATCATGATATTCCCGGGCTTGATGTCCCTGTGGGCGTATGCGCGGGTCTCCCCTGGCTTGGCGCCATCTTGCGCGCGGGTGACTTCATCTGAAGGCTGCAGCATCGGTTCTTCCTGCTCTTCTGAAATTTCCTCTTGATTCTGGGCCGAGGCTGTCATGGTTCGCTTCGTTGTCTTCGCTCGTCGCTGTGCGGCGTCGGCGTCCTCGTCGGCGGCTTCGTCACGGATCGCCTGCGCGGCCGATCGGGAGGCGTTGTTTCGTACGCGGTACTGGTGCATGGCCTTGAGGGCCTTGCATACCCCAAGCATCAGTTTCATGAGTCGTCGCTCGCCGAAGCGTGTATGATTAACCAAGTTGGCATTGATCATGTCTTGTAAATTTCCCCGCCTGTAGTACGGCAAAAGAATGTAAACCGTCTTGCTCGCACCTCCATTCCCGGCTTCGGCTCCAATGCCCGAAACCTTTGTCGTAGAGTCGTTGAGCACGGCATGGTCGATACTGGCAATTATATTCGGGTGCGGAGCGAAGAGCGTGTATGCTTCGACTTCCTTGAGCGCCTGCGACACTGATTCCTGGCCGAAAGGGCAGCGGATCTTTTTGAGCGCGTACAGAGCGCTGTCGCTAGTGTCTTGGACGAGGTATACATAGGAGAAGCCGCCCTATCCACGCATGAATTAGCATAAAGCCGTGAAGATATGCTGCTGCTTGCGACAGGGGCTTACCTCGCCCAGTAATCGAAGCATGCGGAAACTTCGACTGTTGATTTTTAGTTGCGGAGTACTCGGGAAACAGCATATACAGCTTGATAAGGAGTAGAATATGTCTAGAATCGTGTTCGCCATGCTGGGTGGCCGTCGAGGAATGCCGGCGTAAGCCGCAGTCAGGGGAGACGCGAGATGCGAGAACAAGCTGGCACGTTGCCGGTTTCGCAGCTCTCGAACGGAGGCTTTGTCGCAAGCGCGCAGAATATTCAGTGCTTAAGCTTTGCAGGAAGAGGATTGTCGTGAATGGTGTAAGCGATACAAGCTGAGTTGGATATCCTGCGAGCTTCTCTGGGCGGACCGATGGGGCCCGCCGCCGCAGCAGACAAGGCTGAGTACATTAAAACGAGGCTGTGTTGTATGCTGGACACGTGTGATTTCTACTCCGAACACCTCTCTACCTACAGACACCATTGATAATAGTCGGTTTGCTAAAGCCTTGCGTAGCTCGATGAAGATGTCAGCATCTAGCTGTTTGGAACTGTTTTGCATTGGCATTTTCTTCGTCATCATAATTGTCCACCCAATTTGAACATGCCCTATCAATTCTTTCCTAGATAAGCTGATCGACTGAATACAAGAAGGATAAAAGCAGCCTCGAAGTGACGACTTAAGACCTCTGATTGCTAACCAGCACAAGCTCCAGCCACCTCGCCTTGATCTTAGATTTTCAAACCCATCGAGCGTGACCATGTGCATTGAATATTCAATGGCCCTCGTCCTCCCTTCGGTCGTCGTCGGCTTGTCCCCAGTCGGACCTTAGAACCGTCCTTCTGGACCGTTCTTCTGCAATCCCAAGATCGCTATCCGCAGACGGGGGCCCAGTCGAAAGCCGTGAGCAAGGCAATTCCAATCCTACGCCGTCAACTCCTCATGGCATCGCATGTAGCCAATCCATCACCAACGAGTGAAGAGATTTCTGCTTCTGTTGCTATTCAGTAGCCTTGACGACATCTGCCGCCTCTGTCGCAGCCTCAGCAGACTCCGGCGCCTTGTCAACGACTTCTGGAATTGCCGCTTCAGGCTTGGAAGACTCCTCTGGCGGTGCAGGCTTCGGGTCTGCGATGGCCGGAGTCTCAGACTCTGTAGGCACCGCAGGCTTTTCGACCTCGGGCTCGACCTCTGTAGTGGGCTTCTCTTCGGTGGTCTCGATCGGCTTTTCCGCAGGAGCAGGGGCAGGGGCATCTTCCTTCTTGTCCTCTTCGGTGGCGTCTTCGGACTTCTCATCGTGGACTCCGTTCGTCGCATTTTCTTTGTCCCCAGTGGTCTCACCATCAGCTGGCTCGGCACCAAGAATCTTGTTCCATTGACTCAAAAGTTCAACCGAGCGTTTCCGGAACTGGAACTCTTCGTCTCGGGGGATAGTGTTCAGCTTGATCAACGCCTTCAGAACCTTATTGATCTTCGTCATTCGGATTATGCTGACTTCCAAGTCTGCATACCCCTCAAGTTTCTTGATGTATGTCGCCATCAGTGGCATTTCCTCTTCCTGGGGCGCTTGATCCCGGGAAAGAAAGCCTTTCTGCAGCTTGTGGCGGAGGAAAAGAACTGCAACACGTTAGCCGCGACGAGCCCGGGTGCTCCGAATGCTTACCTTCTTTCTCCCGCGACTTGCGCGCCTCGACTGGATCGAGTGGCTTCTCCTCTGGCTCGGGTTCGGGTGCATCGGCCATCTCTTCATCCTCTTGAGCAGCCTTGGACTTACGCCTCTCGGATCGCGGCTTGCTTGCCTTCTCTTTGGGTTTCTTTTCCTCCGTCTTGGGGGTCTTACTCGTGGTTAACTTGATCTTGGTCGTCTTTGGCGTCTTCGCCGGCTATGCCCAGTCAGAACGTATCGTCACAGCAACGCAGCGTCACAAAACTCACCTTCTCGTCTTCGTCGTCATCATCATCAACCTCCTTCTTTCGCTTCTTGGAAGACTTCTTGGGCTCAGGGTCGGCGTCTACATCTTCCATATCGACGTCCTCGGCGTCAGCCTTGACTTCACTCTTCCGCTTCTTCCTCTCGGCTTTGGCAGCCTTTTCTGCTTCCTTGGCTTCCTTGGCCTCGATATCTTGTTGGACTGCATTGTAATGTTCATCGAGCGTCTTCTTAAAGTGAAGGAGATCATGCCCTTCGGCTGCGACCTTGTAGGCCTCGAGCAGCTGTTTGCTTTTGCCCTTTTGGGGGACGTCTTTGCAGTCCTCGGGGCTCAAAGGGGTCAAATCTGTGTTGGAGATCCACACACTGGAGCAATCAGCATGAATGCACGGCATAGGTACGAGCAACTCACAATTCGTTGGTGTACAAGAACATGATCGGGAAGGTCCGCTCGTGCATCTTCTTGCCGCCATCTGCATAGGCGTCGTTGTAGGTGCCGTCGGGCTTCTTAGTGGTGACAGGTCTGGTATTGAGCATTATTTCAGGAAGCATGTCCTCATCGGCAATGATAGATGGCCACGGGGGATATCCCTTCAGCCTGGCGAGATAATAATCGCCCGGCTGGGCATCAAGATGCGTGATCTTGGGCATAGACTTCTTCTTGTTTAGCTTCTTGCCTTTGTGCTCAGGGACACCCGAGGACTTCCTCTTTGGCACTGACGACTTCTTGTCAGCAGCCTCGGCGCCGTTGGTTTCTGGCTCTGCGGGCTCTATTGTATCTATCTCTTTTGCGCCGGTCTCCTCCGTGACCGGAGCCGCGGGCTCAGTTTCGGTGATGGGTTCTTCAGTCTCTTTAACAAACTCTGCTACCAATTCTGGAGGACCATTCGTAGTCGCAGCGTCTATGACAAGGTTAGCTTGCTATGTATGCATAGCCGAAAGAATATGGTTTACCAGTTGTCTCGGCTGGCTTCGTTTCTGCATTCTGGGCGGCCGGCAAAGCTCCCGACATTTCGGCGACAGGCCCAGATGCCGGCTCAGCCAGAGATGGAGGAGCTCCATCAGCAGGCTCTGGCACCTTGACGGGGACTTCCGTCATAGGAGCTGCGTCTTCGGATGCCATATCGATGCGAGGTGTGAGGAGGATGAGGTTTGGGGGGATTGACGCGTCGATGAGAGCGCCGCCGGAAGGTGTACGATAGCTGCGCGAGAAAGATATTAGCGACGTTGTGCTCCCAGGTGTAGGTGTGATTTATTTGCGTCAAGGAGTCAAAGGCCAAGATCGGCTGTGTGTGGGCTGGGAGCAGTGACGCGACAGCAGGAACAGCTTGTGCAAAAGCCACACCTGCGGAATCCGCGACCCTCCCGCTGGCGAACAAAGGAAGAGCACGGACCAATTGAGCCTGAGCCACGAGCTGATGATGATGATGATGTCGTCGCCGCGACGAAGAATGTGATGGTATCTTGTGTTGCGGCGATGGAGGAGAGTGAGGGATTGCGACTGCGACGATGATGGGGAGGGAATTGAAAGGCCCAAGCAACTCTGGAAGAAAAGCCACTGCAACTGCCCTCGTTCATCCAATCACTTCGCCGTTTCCCGCCAAGCCTTCGGGGGAGCTGTCCTTCATCCCCAACTCATCTCAACCAGCCGGCAAGTCGGCAGTGCAATCGTGTCCCAACCCATTCGTGCTGTGCCTTGACCTTTGGAAAATGATGATGAGAATGAAAGTAGCACTCACCCTCTCTGCTCAGAAGTGGCCGATAGGTGCAGCGGTCCGTTGTCGAGACCACAGAGGATGGCGGAGATAGATCTCAATGTCCGCGTCAGAGAGATTAGAACTGCCGCCTCCAGGAATGAACAGCGTAGACCCAGGCTTGAGCTCAATCGTGATCCCGTGGCGGTGGTGATCTCGCCCAGCAAATAGAGATGGAACAGCACCCAAGACACCGGACCGATAAGATGCAGTGGCAGCTGCTCTGGTAGCCCAGCTCTTTCACTGTTGCAGGGCGATGGCTGGGTTGTGACCAAAGCCGGGCTGAACCTCCAGATGATAGATCGATCTCCGGCCCAGCACGGAAGGAGAAGATTTTCTCCCGACACTGCAGAGTCAACGCATTCTTCACTTGGCCATCTTGAAATTTTCTTTTCTGTTTCTGGGTGTAAAGAGCGTCGGATGTCGAATACGCCCTATCCTGAGATTTCGATGAGTGTTGAAAGCAAAATGGCAACCGATGATGCGTGCGAAGAAGCAGATGATGGTACGGAGGTGCAAAACTTCATTCCGTACTCTACGGTGAAGTATCAGACACCCTGTGGAAGCACGTGGGAAGCTACACAAACCGCGCATGCCCCCCTTAGCACTCTGTTTTCACAATGTACAAAGTGTCTCCTTCATCTCTGCCAATGAATTCCTATTGAGGTCCTCGAGAAAACGCAGCATTCACTGCGCAGCCATAATTCCATGAGTTACTTTCACGGATTGTGCCGAGGTGGCTCAGGATTACCAACCAAGTTCAAACCAAGCGCCAGGCACCGAGCACTGGACAGGGCAGAGACGATGACTATCATCTCCAACGCTCTTGGGAGGTCATTTCTGAACCTGTAGTAAACATTCTAACTCATTATGTTCATTCAGATTATGAAGAGGGATACGACATAGCTTAGCGTGCCGCATGGGCAGGCTACGGAGTTCGTCCCCGGAGAGCGGCTACTCACTCGATCCTCGTCATTATACTTCCAGAACCAGAACTCCAATCTTATGCTAATCGTCGACTCGTGAACGCTTGTGGTTACATAGGAAGATCTCTTTCAAACCCGCACTAGAACCTGGAAAGATGCTTTCGGCCTTACGACTGAGCCAACGGATCGGGGCAAAGTTCTGAGAGGAGCAGTACCTGGTCGTGCGGATGGCCTTTCGATGACCCGCAGCGTTTAGAGAGCTGTAACTGCCTTATGAACAGCCTCAACCTCCAGTTGGATGCAGTCATTGTAGAGTGTTTGGGTCGGGCTCGTGCGCCAAGTCTGTTCCGGCTGTGCCTCAATGGTCAATTACTCGGGGGTTGTAGAGGCCACGCCTCGAGCTCAAGAAGCATTGAACACGATAGATGTCTTCTCTGGTCGCCATTCTTCCTTGATTCCGAGTCCGTGTTTTGGCCGGTTCGAGTCTAGCGGTACTTGAACGGGCTTGTGAATTCTCAAGCACCAAAGCAACCAGTCTTC